ACCATCTTAGCTCCCCCTGTCTTTTCATTCTCTTACAAGTGTCTTTCCCAGAGAAGATGTTTTTACTTTTGATGAATTCCAGTTTATCTACTTTTTTTTCTTTATGGGTCATGTTTTTGGTGTCATGTCTAAGAAATCTTAGTCTTACCCAAGGTTACAAAGATTTTTCTTCTATGTCATCTAAAATATTATCATTTTATGTTTTACCTTTAAGTCTGTGATTCATTTTTGTTTAAGAGAGAGAGAGAGAAAGAGACCACAAATGGGGAAGGGGGTTCAGAGGAAGAGGGAGAGAGAATCTTAAGCAGACTCCATGCCCAATGTGGAGCCTCACATGGGGCTTGATCTCCAAACCCTGAGATCATGACCTGAGCTGAAATCAAGAGTTGGATGCTTGGGACGCTGGGTGGCTTAGTCTGTTAAACATCTGCCTTTGGCTCAGGTCATGATCCCAGGGTCCTGGGACTGAACCCTGCATTGGGTTCCCTGCTCAATGGGGAGCCTGCTTCTCCCTCTCCCTCTGCCTGCCTGTCTGCCTACTTGTGATCTCTCTCTCTGTCAAATAAATGAATAAAATCTTTAAAAAAGATCTTTAAAACAACTTTGTATTGGTGGTGGTTCTATTTATTGGAGGTTTTCTATAATTTTGCTTTTATACAGTATTTGTTACAATGATGGTGGAAGTTAATGCAACTTTGGAATTTGATCAGCTGCATTATTCTTTTTTTTTTCTTTTTTAAAGATTTTATTTATTTATTTGAGAGAGAGAGAATGAGAGAGAGCACATGAGAGGGAGGAGGGTCAGAGGGAGAAGCAGACTCCCTGCCAAGCAGGGAGCCCGATGAGGGACTTGATCCAGGGACTCCAGGATCATGATCTGAGCCGAAGGCAGTCGCTTAACCAACTGAGCCACCCAGGCGCCCAGCTGCATTATTCTTAAAATGGTTTGCCAATGAGTTCAGATCCACATGCAAAACGTACATAATTTTAGACACACTATCCAGAGTGGATGTTAATATTCTAAAGGGAGTTTTGTCCAATTGGATATCACAGTTAGCACAACATTTAAACTTAGGGATCAGTGGATTCTTTCTAATAATCAGAAGCTCATTATATTTTTAAGTACATGAGTCATTAAATTTGGACTAGAATATCTGGTGTATCTCCAGATCAGATAGATAATTATGAGAGCTCTGTCTTTTAATTAATCTAAACATTAATTTTTACCCATTCACACTGATTTTACCCAATTACATTTTGTAATTTTCTCACTAATCATTAACTATCCAACAACTAGATGGGTATTTTCCAGTTTGTTGATTAGAAAAAAGGATGGCAAAAGTAGCTCTGCACCCTTCAGTCCCACATCTTTAAAAATGAGTTGTTTAATTTCATTGAGTAATAAGTATGATACCTGCATTTGATTTATCTTTAAATGAAAGCAGTCAAACCTCCTCCACTTAATCTAAGGTGGCTGATGCCGGGGGCCCAGAATAGAAGCTGAATCTTACTGTCTGTGCTAACTGCAGTAAAACTCTTTTAACCATCCAAAAGCTAGTTCACATACTTTTTCTCCAACTGACTTAGGTACTTACTGTCCACTGACAACTAGTGCATTTTCCAGAACCCCCAACTCTTTGTATAGCAAACTACTTTAGATTAATACTTGTTTTCCCCAACATATTCATGTATAACTAAAGGAAAGGATTCTGCTTTGACATTTGCAAGTACATTCCTGTATAGATTTTCAAAAAAGTCTGTTGCACCCCATTCATATGTAAGGCAGCTATTTCCACTGCATCTTCCTAGAATTCCCCTGTGCTTCATGAGGTCTGTTTAAGGTCAGAAAAATGAGATTGAATTGAATTAACTTGTAAAGCAAAAGTAGCAGTGATATAATGTGAAAGCACTTTGTGTTATCAGTGGTGATTTATGTGGATCCCAGTGACAGATCCTTAAGGCTATACTTTCCAGGGCACATTCATAATTTGATTGCTAAAAATAAAAGGACACTTACTTTTCTGCCTTTACCCGTTCTCCCTCTCCTCCTTCAGTCAAAAGCCCATATGATATAGTGTATATTAGTAACCTTTCTTCTTTTTTCTTTCCTTTAAAAAATATTTTACTAAGTATTTAGTCTTCTAGGCCCAGAGACAGATTTATTGTGAAGCTTATGTTTCATAGCCTCTCACTTGCATTGACCCCTTCTGAGACTCTGGAAGGAGTCTCAGTTTGTTCACATGGTTATATGTTTTTGCAAAAGTAAAATATTTTAACCACAAACATTTAAGTCCATTGTCTATTTCTACTTAGCCCTCTGGTAGACTTTCCCTTTGTGTTGAGTGCTATTGGATTTGCCATGGGCATTTTGGGGTATCTAACTAAGGGAAGGTTGAGTTGGGGATGTTTGGTTTGGGGTTAGTAGGATATTTGGCCAAATGTGGTTCTTTTTTTTTTTTTTTAAAGATTTTACTTATTTATTTGACAGAGAGAGACACAGCGAGAGAGGGGACACAAGCAGGAGGAGTGGGAGAGGGAGAAGCAGGCTTCCCGTGGAGCAGGACGTGGGGCTCAATCCCAGGACGCTGGGATCATGACCTGAGCCAAAGGCAGATGCTTAATGACTGAGCCACCCAGGCGCCCCTGGCCAAATGTGGTTCTTAGTCACTTCTGTATATAGTGAAATTTTTCCTAGGAATTCTGGTGTGGGAATGTCTTCCAATAATACCCCTACCACCCATATGCCAACTTACGACATAAAGGTGTAGGGCCCAGTGTAAAAATGGTAAAATGATTGTTATCAATTCAAAAAGTTGGGGCACCTGGGTGGCTCAGTCGGTTAAGCATCTACCTTCCACTCCAGTCATGATCCCAGGGTCCTGGGATCGAGCCCTGCATCGGGCTCCCCACTCGGCGGAGAGCCTGCTTCTTCCTCTCCCTCTGCCTACCACTCCCCCTGCTTGTGCTCGCTCTCTGTCAAATAAATAAATAAAAATCTTTATAAAAAAACCCCCAAAATATTTAATACTAATCACTACACAAGTAAAGTTCTCTGAAATTCTCTATAATCTTATAGTACATATATGAAAGGGACTTGATAGTTTTCCCAAATTTGATGACAGCTCTAAAAATTATTTATTTATTTATTTATTTATTTATTTATTTATTTATTTATTTATTTAAAGATTTTATTTATTTATTTGACAGAGAGAGAGATAGCGAGAGAGAGAAGGGAACACAAGCAGGGGAAGTGGGAGAGGGAGAAGCAGGCCTCCCGCCGAGCAGGGAGCCTGATGCGGGGCTTGATCCCAGGACCCTGGGATCATGACCTGAGCCGAAAGCAGATGCTTAACAACTGAGCCACCCAGGCGCCCCCAGCTCTAAAAATTTATTAATATTTACTTGTGACATTGAAAGGAACTTTACTAAGCTATCATTAATAAAAAATATTTTGACATACGAGAATAACTAAATTATCATTCTTTTCTCTATATAGAAAATGACTTTACAAAGTTATTATCAAATGAAGCAGGAGAGTAAACAGTGAAAATATAGGAAAAGAAAATATAGAGGTGTATCACCATTTTATGATATTTGGTGGCTTTCTAAAATTTGTAACTTGTTATTTTGTTACTCATTCAGAGTATTTACTTTTGTACAGAATTTTGTTATAGTTTTATATTATTTTTTTAAAAATATTTTATTTATTTATTTGAGAGAGAGAGAGAGTGAGAGAGATCATGAGAGCAGGACAAGGGGCAGGGGGAGAAGCAGACTCCCCGCTGAGCAGGGAGCCCGACATGGGGCTCGTTCCCAGGATGCTGGGATCATGACCTGAGCTGAAGGCAGACACTTAACTAATTAAGCCACCCAGGCTTCCCTAGTTTTGTATTATTTTTCTTAAGGAAAGCCCTTAAAATGTTTGTGTTTCAGAGGCCACAAAAGATGGATTCATTTCTTTCTAGGCATCACATAGAAAATTGTCCTGTGCAAACATAATTTATTGTCAGAATGCAGCTCAACATGTTAATAATACATAAATATTGGTCACTTTTTAAAGACTGTTAAGGTTTCAAATTTCTGGATCATAGTTGCAGCTGAGATTATAGTTAAGATTAATGTGCAGTCAATTTAGAAAACAAATTTGGAGGGGCACCTGGGTGACTCAGTTGGTTAAGTGTCCAACTCTTGGTTTTGGCTCAGGTCATGATCTTAGGGTCCTGAGATAGAGCCCTGCCTTGGTCAGAGTCAGCTTGAGATTCTTTCCCTTCCTCCCTCTCCCTCCCTCTCTGCTCCTTCCCTGGCTTGTGGACACTTGTGCTCTCTCTCTCTAAAATAAATAAATAAAATCTTAAAAAAAAAAAAGAAGGAAAACAGATTTAGAGAGGACCTTTTTTCAACTAAGTCAAGGAGTTCTTTCCTGTGTTTGGAATAAAACTCTGAAATGAAGTAATGTAATTGTGATGTTAAATTGAGTGGGGTTGTTTTATTGAAAAAATGCTACAGTGGAACAGATTAGAGCTTTAATTAACAGAATTCAAGGAGAGTTGAATAGTCAAGATGTCTCTAATTTTGTAATAAGTAGAATTAATGTGATTATTTCTCTTTGCAGCATCAGCATTTAAATACATTTTGGAAATTGTGTCTTACCTTGTAAAGTTTGTAAATGAGTATAATACTCTTGTTTGTCTTGTCCATGTGAAGACTGTAGACTTTAAAGAGATTAACCCAAAGTTTAATTTAATCACTCAGTGGTCTGTTCAGGGGAAAAATAAAATGGGCAGATAACGTGAAGGTCTTTCTCTGCAATTATTTGGCCTTTTTGAAAGGGGAAATGTAAAAACAAATTTAATTAGGTATAAGTATGGAATGACT